CTTCATCCACAGAGTCCTCTTGACAAGGCGGTCTGTAACAGATCCCCACAGCAATGTCTCCCATCGCTGTTCTCCCTTTAACCCTGACCCACAAACTCTCTGTTATCTGCTCACCTGTCCCCAGACAGAGTTCCATACACTCCAGCCTATCCCTAACATAAATAGCAACTCCCCCTCCGCACCTGCCAGACCTGTCTTTTCTGAAGAGTCTATAACCTTCCATTTTAACACTCCAGTCATAGGAGCCATCCCACCATGTTTCTGTGATGCCTATTATATCATACACCCACAGATGTGCACACATCTCTAATTCCTTGTTTGTTCCCCATGCTATGCGCATTTGTATAGAGGCATCTGAGTCGAGCTCCAAATGAAACCGGCTCATTGGCTGGAGTGGCTGGAATATCTCTGCATTGCTCCGAGCATTTATTATAGGTGCTGGCAACTGACTGGGTGTGTTGGGATGGAATGATGCCCCCCTCCCCCAACACATATAGTTTAAAGCTTCCTTGACCAGTCTGGCAAGCCTCCTACCAAAATCGCTCTTCACCTTCCCTGGGACCAGCTCCAACAGCCGCCAGTAGACCTGGCCTACTAAATTGATCCCCATGTTCTAGATACCCAAACCCCTTACTATGGCACCACCCTTCTAACCCTTTATTAACCTGGCCAATCCTTCTAGCCTTTTAAGATCCTCCCCTTTATCCTGGAGAATTGACAAAAAGACTATTTGAGCTCCAGAGCAACTAACCACCTTTCCCAGGGCTCTTCTTCATGCTCTTTGGGCTACTGCTATTTATATCACTAGCACCCACATGGATCATGGGTAATAGTCAGTGGGACTTACTAGACTAGGAAGCCTCTCTGTAACATCCCTGATCCATGCCCCTGGTAGGCAACACAACTACCTTGAGACTGGGTCAGGCCGACAGATGGGTGCCTCTGTTCCTTTCAAAGTAGAGTCCCCTACTACTATGACCCGCCTCTTTATCCTGGCAGCACCAGTAGAGATCTTTACTGGTGCACCAGTCGGTTGTTTCTGGTGCCAGGGTGTTTCCTCATCAGCCCCCCTGCAGAACTGCAAAGCCATTCTGGGTGGGGACAACAGATCTAGGAGGAAGCCCCTTGCTTTTAACTGTCCTCTTCCTCCTTTTTTTTTTTTTTTTGCTGGTTTTGGGGGGTTTGGGGAGGGTTTTTGGTTGTGGTGGGTTTTTTTTTTTTTTTTTTTTTTTGTTACTATTTCCCAGCTTCCTGGGTTAATGGCCTCTTTATTTCCTCCATGAGCTACAGGGGACGCCATAGGCACCTGCACAGTTTGGGCCTGGAACAAGCATCCTACTTCCTCTCAGCTTCCCTGGCATCTTGTAGCCTATTAATAGCATCCCCCAGCTCCGCCCCTGCTGTAGAAGGACCTCCACCAGGGAGCACCGAGTGCAGCCCTGCCCACTGTGCACCCTCCCCTCACCAGATCAGTGTAGGCACTCTCTACACTTCGAGCTCTGCACTGCACCCTCCCCCCTCATCGGCTCTGTCTGGGTACCTACGCTGCCACCGCCGGGACAGCTAGAGCAGAGCTCCCAGAGCGCACCCTGGTCATGTGGCGAGTGCTCACCACCCCGCTCACCCACCCACACAAACTGCCTCTCCGCACTCCACTCAAGGCTAGCGCCGTTCCTCCTGGCTCCGCCCCCTGTGAGTCAGCTGAGCTGCCGGCTCCTGGGCAGGTCCTGTCGAGGACTTGAGGCTCTTTGGGTGGCTTTCGCTGCTCTGAGTTGAAGCTCCTGGACGCTGAGCTTCCCCCCGCTCCGGTGTTCAAGGCTTCCTCTCTCGAGCTACTCACCTCCTCTTCGTGAGAGGCAGAACAAGAAGATACACAAACCCACATTCTCACAGTCTGGACCAGCCTGATAGGTAAGCGTTAGGAGCCATAGACTTTGAGATCCCAGAGCCTGCAACTGTAAGCAACCGTCACTCTGGAGGCCTTTGAACTGAGCACCTGAAAGTCGTTACTCCAGTCTGAAAGGAAAACCTTTCCATCCCAAGCCATTGCCCAATGAAATCAGTATTTTGGTCAGCTCCACCACTAGAAAAAAACAGCTGCAGTATGCAGGGGAACATATTTTGTTTTCCCAGCTCCATGTACCAGTGTTTCACAAATGAAATTTTCTTTGACATTGAGGCTATATGAAATCTTGAAATTAAAGTGAAATGTAATTGCCAATGAATGGAAAGCATTCCTTTTTGGCCAGCTCTATTTGTACATATAAAATATCCTAGGCTTCTCAAAGTGTATTTCATGCCACCTCAAATTATTTCTATTATTTTTTTTTCATTGAGCTCTCCCAGGCCAGCCGCTCAGGGGTTTTCAATGCCCAAATTCCCACTCATTATTTCATCTGACACTCAGATCCCTTGGGCAGTGCTGAAAAATTGCTAAGCCTTAATTTCTGTGCAAGGCTTCCAAACAAAGGTACAACGAGGAAACTGGTCCTGGCACTAAACACCAATGAGTATGTAAGACAAATTTTATCTGGAGAGAGCAAACAATAGGCTACCAGTAGCATCTTTCAAAAGATATACAATGTAAGCCACATACTCTTCAATAGCTCAAGGGGCTTATAGTCAATAAATTTAACAGGCTGCAACCAAAAAAGTCAAAGCTAAAGTACAGTATGTAAATGGAAGCGAGAGTGAACTCTTCTTTTCAACCTTAGGACAGTTAATAGAGGGGAAATGGCAAAATACATGAAAAGGAATACACAGGATTTGACAGAGTATGGTTTTTTTCTTTTAACTTCAAGGCGAACTACCAGACTATTTTGGTTTACAGATATATCAAAGAAAGAACTTTCATCAGTTTGCATAAAAGTCTCATTTTCAACATTTGAATGTTTAAGCTTCAGAGCCTTATTCTGTATGTGCATGTGGCGGGTTACAACGGAAGTAGTGTAAATAATAACTTTTTCAAAGAGAGATTAGCTTCAAAGATTATATGGTAAAATAGTGTTTTCTACACTTATGGATTAAAATACCTGTAGGCAGTTTCTGTAAACTAGTGAAACTCATGGGTATTTGCAGTAATAGACTAATGACACTAGAAGTATCTGACAGCCCCGTTGCTGCCTCTTGACATTATTTGTGGTATTCTGGTGTTCAGTATGGGTATTCAAATCCTCAGTCTTGCCAGATTTGTTTGCAGTGGCTCAGTATTTATGTGACAAAAAAAAATGTTTCCTTTAGGAATTCCCTTTATTTTACAGTTATGCGGTCACACTAAATGCAAATGTATAGGACTCACCTTGTCCTTTTGTTTTTTTCCAAGACCTACCCCTGACTTCTCTCAGTTGACTAAGAGCACATGTGTTGGTTTTTCACTGACAAGCCCCTCATATTGACATCTATATTTGTTTAAGCTGTCAGTAAAACTGAAGTAGCTTGACTGTTTCCACTGAGATTCTCTTTCCCCAGATTTTCACTTATTATGATGTTGTTTGGAAAAAACTCATTTGAGGAAAATGGGAACTATGGGGCAGTAAAGAATACGGTGTTGGATGTGGCAGACCTAACCTCTGCTCTGACTAAATGGTGACTCCTTGGACTGAAAAATCCTGCTCTGAGAAAGGCAGAGCAGAAAATGACATGGAAGCTCTTGCAGCCCAGGTCAGTATCTTAATACAGAATGTAACAGGCAGAAACCCCCTATCCGAATGAATGGCTGAAGGTCTCTGAGCACACTCTATCCAGCATACTGTTCCCAAGGAAGATGAAAATAAATTCACCAGAAAATGTCAGCTCCTTGTCTGTGTGCCTATAAAATTGTACAACAACAAAAACTTCTGTTTACTCTGGTGATATCATTTTAAAGTTTGCGGATATTTTGGTAGCTGTATATCATGCAGGACAGTAAAGGAAAAGACTCACCTTGTTTATGTGCTACCTGCGTAGAGTAATCTCAGTTGTAAAGTTAGTGGATAAAAGAGTAAAGATGATTTAGTGAGGAACAGCACAGCACAGCTAGGACTTAACGCAGCCCTTAGCTTACTGTTTTGGGGTTCTTCACATAAAGCAAAGTGCAGTCTTTTGCACAGGACACATCTTGGCATAGAAATGAGGGCTTTATAGCAGCCTATAAAGATTCCGTTGCACTAGCAAAATTGATTAATGTTTAGTTATGTTAAGTGGAGAAAGATTTCAAGGTCCTAGATTCTGACTTCCTAAATTGTTTCTACTACAGATTTAATATGTTAAGATTTTTCTTGAACAATATTATCTACCAAGTCAATTAAGCTGTGTGAAATAGCACCTGTACTTCTGCTCTCGTTTCATGACAATGGAAAGTGAGATAAGTAGATAGGAAAGGGAATTGTGGATCTAGGTGGAGGTTTATTGAAAGTATAGCACAAAACTAAACAGGTCCATGGGAAGTACACGCCATAAATGATCATTAAGTCTTCAAAAAGGCTGTTTATCATAATTACGGGTATTTGTATGCTCAGGATGCCATTTCTTAGACTGTGTCTGTACAGCAGTGTGTGTCTGCAGTTCAATCAGGATGTAAGCAAACAATATGTAAACCAGTCGCATTGGGCAACAGCAGCAGTCTGTCTTCAGAAGCACAGAGCACACAGTTCAAGCTGCAAATTTCATTCAGGAAGCTGAAAAAAAACCAACCCAGGAGCTTATCCTATGCCGTACTCAGTGTTCTACCTGGTTTAAAACCTAGGCTATGTTTACACTGAAGCTTTGTAATGGTTGAGACATAAAAACTGAGCCATGCTTTGACTGTGCATGACAGTAATTGGCAAAAAAAAACCAAAACAGGCTGACTACCCTTGATCAAGGGAGAGGTGCTTGCACATGCACATGGTATAACAGATGAGCTCTCAACAGAGAAGAGCAATAATAACTAGCCACCCAAGGACAGAAACAGGCTGATCAGAAAGTCCAATGAAAATAGAAATCTTTTAACAGACATAAAAACAATCCCTTTCATGCAGTCAATTTGAGAAAATTTTTTCTCATGTAGGTAATGAAAAATACACATCCACTATGATAAATATACATCTGCATATTGCTAGCAATTCACTTTTTTCTGTAATTACATTTTCTCCTTGTTAGTTCTTTTTGTTTCTTTGATGTAGTCATCCCATGGACAGTGTCATGAAGACCATCTTGAGAACAGAGAGCTCGCTGTCTTCTAACGAGAAGAGAAAACAAAGAATTCTTGGGGCTATATTTGGCATACAATATGCCCAGGTGACTTCATCCACCTCTAACTGCACTGTCTGATTTTAGCAGGAAAAAGGCAAATATACTCTCTTTATCCACAAACTGGGAGATAGGAGGATACTGTGTTTTCAGACTGCATAAAAAGAAAAATAACTGCTTTTACTTCTCTTTACCGTGCACTTTCCCCAAAGTATTATTTTCCAATGATTTTGGGTCTGTGAGAGCTGCTTTTAAATTTCTGGTGATAATTTTATATTCTAGAAGGAATTTGAACATGTTATCACATGTTCCAAAGTATATCAACTTGCATATTGCTTAGCACAAAAAACGATCTCGCTCATTACCCTCATAAAACTAGAAACTAAACACTACCTTCTTTTAGATGAAGTAATTTACTTGTCAGCTGTTTATTTCAGAAAAGAAGCGTGGTTAAAAATATGGTTATAATAATTTCTTTATGCAATAATAATCATAATTTCTAACTATAGTTAGCCAAACAGTATTTGAAATAGATATGATCTCTTGTTGCTTTGCCTGATCTTTGCCTTTTGCTGACCTGAAAAACCAATAAAGTCCATTACTGAACCAAATGTTTAAAAAGTTAGTAGTTAATTAGACAGAAAACTACCTCTCAGGCAGATGGTATCATATGGAGTAAGCAAGGTCAAATGGAAATGAAACAGGATATTCAAAAACAAGTAAGAAGAATTAGCAGTATCTACAAATAACCAGTGTTATTTGTAGCCCTGATGAAATTGGTGGGAAGCTCCCACTGACCACTGACAGCCAACGTGGAGCAGTGTTGAAAACTTGAACTGATCTAATATTAAAATTCATGTGTTTGTTCTTCAAAATTATGCATTTATAAATATTTTATTGTACAGCAAAGGTTTAGCCAATTTAATATTGGATAGTAAAGGGATACAAACCCTTGATGTAGGGCGTGCTAGAGACAATTATTTGTGAACCAATTTTATTATAACATTAGTAGCCACTTGCTATTCTTGAGTCTACACTTGTGTCACTGGCTACCTAATATTAAAGTAAGGTTTCTGTTTCCTACCTGTTTTTTATTTTTCTGAACAAATAAGTATATGTTAGCGGTACAAGTACAAATGAGCTTGTCTTGTCTTTTCTTACAAACTGAGTTAGGGCTTTTATTTCAGTGTCTGTAAAACATAAATTTGGAGTGTATGTTCAGCTCTGATGTCCAGAATGGCAGGCAGGAAGGCAAAACTGCCATTCCCAGTCTGCTGGAGATTATTAAGCTCTCTTGAACCCTGTATGCATCCGACAAAATTCGAGAAAAGTATTGGAGTAAAAATCCTGCCTCTAAGTCTCTCCACAGACAGGACACTCTGGCCAGACCTCTGCCTTGAGCAAGAGGCAATTGCTTGAAGCAAAATACCATGAGGCTGTACTCCCACTGATGGCCTAAGACAAGCATTTTGATTTCCTTAAATCCAAAGGTCTTCAGCACAGTGACATGGGTTAATAGCTTTAGAAGTGAGCACTATTTCACAAGTGACTAGATATAGACCTGGGTTTGGAGAACTGCTCACACTGATGTTCATATTATCATCTCTTCCATCAAACCCGCATACACTAAAGGGGCCGTGAATTCCGTGCAAATCTTGGAGACTTCTCATCAACTTATGAAAAACAAAGCTCTGCAGGTCAAACCTTGATTCTAAATTGCATCCAAGTACCTTTTAAATTGCAAAATTATGAGAGTTCAGCATTTTCATTATCATTAGGTGCCACTCCTGAAAAATGCTTAAGAAACATCACTGGTTGTTCCCAGGGAGGAATTTACTGTTACAAATATTACAATTACCGAGTACATTATATCATTTAGGTATATATTTAGTTTAATTGTGGGAAAACTTGATAGTATTCTGTTGATTCCATAATTACTAGAAAAACTGGAAAATAAAATACATGTCTTGGGGGACTGGGAATTTGATGTGGTTTATAATCAACAGCATTGTTCACAATGATGGATCTGAGTATACAGAAATTATTTCACATTGCAGCACTGGTGCTAACACTTGCTTTTGCACTTGCTTTTCATTACCATTGCAAAATAGTTTTCATAGACACTGCTTATTTTAGTCATGGCAGAAACTAATGAATTTTTCAGACTTGTATCTGGGTTTTATTATACTCCTATACAATCTTTTATTATACTCCTACAAAATCTAGTTTTTATGTATTGTACTATCAAAGAGTGGGCTGAGGATGCCCTTACTTCCCTTTGAATCTTTTTTACAACTTTATAATTCAGAAATTTAAACTTCACCCATTATTAAGTGCTAACCTCTGAGTCTGGCCTTGCTTCTCCCTCTAGTGAAAATTATTTGCACTATGGTGGCACCAAGTGCCTCTCTGCTTTGGCCCTGTTGTCCTAAACAATGTAAAACCAAGGCTGTAAGTAGTCCCATTCTCAAAAGCCTGCAGTCTGGCATGTTTGCAAGACCAATTTTAGTGAAGTGAAGCAACCACTGAGCTAATTGATTTGAAGCTAACATATCTCTACTCCATACTGAAGTATAAGCATGATTTAAGTCAGTAAGACAAAGGAGATGGGAGCAGGTGCTAAATAAGTTACAAGAGGGGGAAACTCATAATTTCTCCCTCCACAAAGCTGAATGAACACGGCATTCACAGCAACAGATCCAGCAAAGAAGACATTTCTTGTGAACAGCCATCAGTCTGAACATCATTTTGCCCGCCTTGAAAAACTGTCCTCTGAGGAGACGTGAACACCACTTTAGTGAATCACAGTCCTGTTGATGTTGAATGTTGATGTTGAAGCTGCTAGAGAGCCTTGCCACAGGGCGAAACATGTGGCTGTCCTAGTGCCCAGGGAAAACAGTATCTCTGGATGTATTGATTAACTTTGTGCTATTTTCTAGAATAATGTAAAGAGGTAAAAAAAGTGTGAAACAGAAAAGGAAATACAGTTTGGCTGATACAGCAAGGCACAGGCAGCCAACAGACTTGAAACTTAGCCTCCCTATTTCTTCTGCTGCTTTTCCTTCGTCAGTTCATTTTGGTCCATGAATCAATTTCCTTATTGGAAAAAACCACCTGACAAAGCTATCTCTTAACTCTGTCTTTCCACTGTACCCTAGGATTCGTGAGTGGAAAGATATTTCAGATTTGTGATTGCTGTTGTGTACATAGGTATCTCCTGTTTCTAATTAGGGGGAGCCAGCTGTTCTCTTAGAAAGTATATCATGAGTCCTGAGCAGGGAGACCTCAACACAGAGGTTGTCTGATATAAAGGCATGGAGAGAGCAGCAGTAAGGGAAATACTGTGTGCATGCTCTAAATTATTTTTTCTTTGTACAGATGAGGTTTGATTGAGTATAACTTAACATAGAACACAGGAAGGGAAAAAAAGATATTATAGTGGTAAAATGTAGAAACTGTGATGAAAAAGAGCTTTAGAATACTAAATACAATTGAAACAGACCTTCACATGAGTAACAGCATTTTTTTCCCTATCATCTATTGTTACAGATAAGAGCTCCTTACCTATATCATGCTCCTCTCTCAGCCTCACACTTCTACTGTCCTTGTTGGGTTTTTTGCAACACCAAAATAATAACAGCAGAAAGGCAGTAATGCTTTCATTTAATGTTGCAAGGAGCAGATGCAGTTAAGTATTTGTTTAACTTGAGGGGGGGCTAATCCTTCCACCTGAGAGCCACATACTGGCAGTTGTAAGATATGAGCTGTGCATCTCAGAAGGATAATTGCCTGGTAAAAGATGGTAACTAACTGCTCTACTTGGAACCAGATCCCCTTCAAAGCAGGTTTAGATAGCCAGCAATGTCCCTGGCTCACTCCTTATAGTCTAGGAGATAGCTGGGGAGAGGAAAGCGCCATTGCCCTACTGGTGAAATGCAGATAATATTCACCAGTTATTTCTTCTGTTTGAAAACTGCCAAATATCTAGTAAACATGCACAAACTTGTCTGCTTGTACATGCTTTCTGGGGAAAAAAAGTAATAAACAGGCAGTCAGATGGAAGAGGATATAAACGAACATATAACAATTCTGTAAGAAGCCAGACTTTTACTCCTAGGGCTTATGGTAATGATCTTCAATATGTGAACACCAACGCTGCACTAATTCGTGTATGCCTTACTATAGGTTAAAGTAACATGATAACTCAGACAACATTGCAGACCACAGTTAATTTCAGGTTCCGTATAATGGTTGGCAACTACATACTTGCAGACCATACTTCAAGCAGCTTAAGAGAAAATTACAACATGATTTTTAACAGTATAGCACATAATTTCTTTTTCATTAACTACATAAATTCATTTTGATACTGTAAAACTAAATACATTTTTTAAGTATTTACTTTCATCAACCATTTTATTTTTCTGACACATGGCATATCTTATTCAATAGCATTGGCTGCTCTTTTTAAAGATAATATTCTGTTTTCCAGAACAGCAGTATGATTGTATTTAGACATCTTTAAAAATGTAGTGACAGCAATTTCAATCAAAAACGAGAGGAAAAAAATACTTTCTTTACAATGAATAGTAGCAACTGAAACAAGTTAGAAATAAGGAAGGCAAAACCAGCATTGGAATACTTTGGTTTCATTCATACTGAAGTTTGTGGTGTTCTGAAAGAATTATAGGGGCCTTGTATACAAATTAATGCTGCAGTAGATCACCATTGCCATCTCCTGGTAAATAAACCATATAACTGTGTTCTGGAGCTTTTTCTGAACAGCCATATATTGTACAACTGTAGAGAGATTACACCATAAATAGGCAATAAAGAATTTAGGGTATTTACTGTGAGACTATCATTGCATTTTTATTCTTTGCTCACATAAGACCTTTATAAAGAACTGCATTACAGTTGATAAATAGCGGCATTTGTTCCAGTGCACTCTTTATGCGAAAAGAAATACTACTACTTATGACTCCATAAATTAACATGAGACGGTGGGTATTGTTGTGATTGAAACAAATACCAGAGCTGCTTAAGAAAAACTCACCATAACCAAAACAAATACACTCAGTGAGGAGGCATTAGTTTCCACTGTATTGTGATAGGACTGTAATAGGTTAGTCAGCCAAGACAATGTCAAACAGCATTAAGCTACATTCTGAAGTGACAGTAGGGATAACAGCAGTGACAATAATAAGCTGTCATTTCACTCTCTGGTATTTCTAAACCTTTTTCTTTTATTTTTTTTTTTTTTATTTTCATTGTCCTTCCCACTGTCACTTTTCATTCTACTCCCTCTCTCTTACCGATGCTCCTTTTTTGTCTTTGTGCAGCTACCTGAATCCTCCTGATAAATGATATATGTTCTCTCGTGCTTGGTGTGGAAAAGAGTGAGCCAATCTTGAAGCCAGCATGAGAAACCCCCTCCCCAACAGAACTGCCCATGTATCATGCTGAAGCCTGCAAAAACTCACCTTGTCCTACAATCTCTTTGTCACGTGGGGAAGGAGAATGTGTCTACAACTCATTACCCTTCCTAGCAGAACGCAGTATTCAATGTGATATTGAGCCTTGATAAATCATTCTTTCAATCATATCAGTAAACAGAGAGAAATGCTGTCTAACTGGCAACAAATTTCAAACAGGTTCAGCAAGGAGTGACAGATTAGTCCTTGCCCTGTGTATTGCTTTTGCAATACTTCTCTGTGCAACAGAGAGAGTGAGTTCCTTTACTTCAGCTCTGTATCTACTGCCAGCATTGCCAACTAATATGACAGGGAACAACCCTTTTAATAAGCTTTTGGTTTTTATTCCATGGAAGCAAGAGAAATGTTTGTAATATTCTGGAAGAAACTATAGCTGCAGGTTTTCTGATACCACCAAACCTTCTGAAGCCAGAGATGCATCATGAAGAGCATTTACTGAAGAGCAGCCTTCATGGTGGTGACAATTCAGTTAGTTTGTTTCTTTCAGCTCAGCAGCCATATAGCTAGGACTGCTGAATGGGGTCAATCACAGACACTGAAAAAGGGGATGATAAGTGCGGACAAGTGCAATGGCATTTTAGAGCCGCCATAGTGTTCGAAAGAGTAAATATTAACTGATGCTCAGAAAGAGCTGTGAGAAGTTGCTGGCTGTAGATAGCTGGAAGGAAAGTAGAGCTTTGTAACAAAAATGAGAACAACATCTTGAGGGACTAATAAGAATACTTTCTCATCAACCTGGTTTCGTCACAGGGGGACACAGACTTGATCTTGGACTCACAAAGGCATTTAGAAACCAGAGTCTATGGCAGGTTACACTAAATGATCATAATAGCCATTAAGGCCAAAAGGGACTGGAAAGCACAGGCTTAATTATTAGATTATCCCAGGGGATCTGGAATCAACACACAATGCTAATGGTATCTCCAGTCATTATTATTAGATTATGCCTAGAAACTTTTCCCTGAAGCAACACTGTAATTATGTCTTTATTAATTTATTTTTATTTGCTTTAGCCATTCTCCACACTTCAACAATATGCATACTTCCTATTGCAAAGAAATTCAAAACAAAGTCATCTCAGGGAGGAAATGGATAAACACATCTGAGCTCTAATAACAGAGAGTTAGAACTAGTAGCATCCTTTAGAAATTACAAGTTAAAATATAAATGCCTGTTTTAGGGAAAAGAAGAAAGATGAAAATGAGAAGTTGAAATACATTACCCTTTTTATAAAGAGTGGCAGTCAGGTCTACAGCTGAACTGAAATGAAACACCTGCTCATAAGGGGTTGAGAAGAGCATGTGACTCATAAGGAAATCTGGCCTTAAAACAAGCTAGAACAAGCATGGAGAAGGAACACAATTGCTGTTGCCCTGTCCATGATAAGGTACCAGGTTTGCATGAGACACATGACTGAACATGTTTCTGTTGCCTCCCATGCCCTTGCAAATTGAAAGATGAAAGTTGGGGTGCAGATTAAATCTGATCCTATATGAATTTTTTCAGCAGCCAAGGTTGCTGGAAACCACATAACTGACCTGGAACATCCCTCTGTCTTTGACCTGTAGTTAAGTACAGCAATACTACATGTATCAATGGGTAAATAATAACTGGAGGAAATTATTAAACAATTTCAGGCCATGAAATGTAAAATCAATTAAAGAAACAATAGCCACAAGCATTGTTTTGCGTAGCTACAACGTAACAGACATGTATTCTTCCAAGGCACTGAGGTAGATGACATTACTTGCAGTGTCCATAGACCCATTCACTCCTCAATCAGCTCCTTTCTAAGAAAAAAATGTTTACAGTATCAAACCAGCCAGCAACATATATTCTGGACAGTGCTATCACAGGCTGGCAAACTTAAGGCACAAAAAAATGAAGGTTCAGTGACCCTGAGCATCAAACACACGCAGGACAACAGTAAGGAATACTGTAGTTAATTGGTGATGGTGCAGGTTCGTGCACTTCCTGATCCCTGCCAAGTTGACAGCACCTGCACTGATGAATAATATTTGTCTGTTATTTGCACATTTTGGAACCAGAACGAGGGGATAAATTTGAAGCAGATTCAAGTTTCTATCATTTTCACTTCTTCCCGTGCTAAAATTCTTGTCAAGGAGGAAATAAACTTTGACTATTCTCTTACATTTACAATGGCTATTTCCTTATGAGAAACAGTTTCACTTGGCATGCTGAAGTCACTAACCACAGATTGACTGTCATCACTTCCTACAAATCATCCAACTATAAAACTGAAAACAGTGGGATTCTCAGAGACATTAAGTTTGCAGTGGCATGGGAAAAAATGCAGATAGCCTAAAATCTTTAGGGAATATATATAGATACACACACCTATATATGAGAGACAGAGCCTCAGCCTACACTAGTAACTACGTTCTAGTTCAAAGGCTATCCATGAATCAAGAAAGGACAGAAACTCTGATTTTTTTTAAATGGTTTTAAGCTCTAAAAGTCAAGAGGTGGAAAATAACCATGAGCAAGTTAGTTGCACAATATATGTGAGGGCTGTAAGACTGACCCACCTTTCCACCCTCTTTCCCTTGAGACTGTATTTTCAGTAATTGTCCTTAAAATATATTCCCTAAAGAAAAGGAGGAGGCAGTAAGGAAGAATAGGGATGAAACAATATTTCAAATACTTAATGAAACATAGTTCATTGCTGACTGTCCATCTTACCTTCCTATGCTATATTGTTTGAGGACTGGGAGTTTACTATAAAACACTGCATTTTCCTTAGCATATATGGATGAGAAGACAAAGATTCAAGCCTTTACATTCTAAAAGAAGGACATTTTAATACAGTCTTTAGGACAGATAAGTCAGAGGTACGTTCAAGAAATGCAGAAAAATGTGTCTTCATAGAATTGACTGTACTATCTAACACGACCTATATAGCAGGATTATACTCTATGACTTACAAGAATATTGATCTGTGTGTACTCCTCAGTGGTATTACATTCATTTTAGCATTGATCTCTGTTTCATTATGCCACTGCATCATGCACTCTCAGTGTCATCTCAGCACCCCTTTAAAATTTGAGTGTGTTCTTGCTGTCAAGATGTACAGATGCGCTGTTCAGCTTCCAATTCAAAACATCAATTTCAAAGCCTACTTATTCACAAATGCAACCTGCTTTTAAAATAATACTAAGGACCTACCATGCTTTAACCCTCCAAAGCAAGGTAAATAGAATGAAAGAGACATTGGAAAGTGCTTTTTCTTCAAAGATGGTGTTTTTTTTTTACTCTGTGCATTGTTTGTGTTACCTTTCAAAGAAGCTTGAGAATACCATTTCTTTTCCTCACAGCTTCTTTCTATTCCATTTGGAAAACATTGATTTTGCTTCCCCCTGTGATTCTTATGCAGCCCAAGTAAACATGGCTTGTTTAATACATGTCCAAGTCTGTGCAATGCCATAAAATTCACTATAGCTGTAGGAGAAAAACCAGTCCCTGTGTTGGTTTCTAGCATTGCTGCAGCACAGTGCAAAATATCATGGCTCTTGCATGTCCAGAGAGGTCACTGGTTTGGTTAATTTGCTTATGCATGCTTTATTCTTCAAAGCATATGACTGGGCACCAGGGCATCATAAATTCT